TCTCCTCTAAAACATCTCTCTTGCCAAGCCACTCTGCCCTGGAGCCAACCCACAATGGACTGAAGCCTCTACAAACTATGAGCCAAATAAACCTTTCTTCCTTGAAGGAAAAAAAAAGGAGTTTGGTTCTGCTTCTTGAAAGCACAACTCAGTCAGAAAGATTCTCCTCCCTCAGAGTTTTGGCTCCAACATACTATGTGGACATTGCCAGTTTATGTATTTACTATCACACTAGAAAATGGATTGTGAGAAAATAGAGGCAGAACCGTGGTGGAGGAAGACACTAGACAATTAACTCTACCTGAGCCTCAGTCTTCCTTACTCATCACCATGCTTAAACTCTTAAGGCTTCTGGATCTCGCTAAGTTTACATTACAGCACTCATGCTCAGGTTTCTGGCTACACTGATAGGCCATGGTGTTTGTTCTGGAGATCTGCAGGTGTTCTGAAATTGAATGTTCTCCAAATTGCCTGCAGCTAGTTACCATATATTCTGTCTTCTTTTCTTGTCTTTTCTATTATAAAGAAAGGGTGATAGCATGTTTATTCTATATCAGTCAGAACCAAAGAATATAACCAGTGCCTTTTAATAAGTAGAAACACTGTATTTCCTCATTTCTAAATCCTCAGTGATACAATTTGACCATTAGATTAATGATAGTCTCTAATATCCAACTATGGTGAGAAGCTTGGTCAGAAAGACTCAGAAAAAAATTTGTTTGTTCCCAAATATCTCAAGACAAATAACCTTTTTATCAAATTATTGGCTGCAAGGATGACAGCAACATTATCAATAAGTACTTTTAGCCAACTGCAGAGAGAAGAGAGTGGGTCCATACATTCTCATAAGGGCCTTAGCAATTACTTGACAGGAGCAGCTTACAACATTTAAAAATAAAGGCAGTAAGTAAAAAAAAAAAAAAAAAAAAATAGGGAGCTAAGAGCATCTAATTTCTAAGACTTCATGGAAGTATTTCCATGTTGTTTCGTGAATAGAAATAACAGTAATGTTCCACTTAAGTCTAAAAGCAAAGTCTAATACACTGTAGAAATAATCAATGATTAAAAAACAATAAAAGGCAAATAAGTAGCTGTGTCAAGATCCTGAACAGAATGAGAGACAAATCAGTAGCTGTCATCTCACCTCACCTCAAGAGATCAGGCAACTGGCTAGACCAGGGAAGTCAGACAGTCCAAAGCAGTGTACAGCACACTGGCCACTTACACTGCCCCCGGTTCAAGCATGTAATTCACTTGAACCATGCACATTGTGACTACTATACCATACGCTAATGAAAAAATCTATAAAGTGGATCTTACATATAAATATGCAATTGTCAAAGTGCTATTAAGTTATATTTTCAATATGATTATCACTAAATACACAGGAAAAAGAGGAAGAAAAGGAGATGGAGGAGGAGGAATAAGAGGAGAAGCCGTGAGTACTTTTCTTTCTGCCTAGCCTAAATTTATTTCAATGAATGTGATTATTTTAAAAAAAAAAATGTTTATTAAATACAAGAAGAAAAAAGTTTCAGCAGCCCATGGTACTACATACATGTAATCCAGCACTGTGCAAAGCTGAGGCAGGATGATCACAGGTTGTAGCCCTGAACAACTTAGCATGACTCTGTCTCAAATGAATGAACGAACGAATGAATGAATGGGAGGGTGACTTAGTGTGAAGATCCTGAATTCAATCCTCAGTACCAAAAACAAAACAACCTTCTAACAATTATCTCAACTTCAAAATTACTTTATATGTTTCAGAATTAAATGTAAAATCTAAAATTATAAAATTTCTCCACAAAACAACAGAAAATAATTTCACAACTTCAGAGTACAGACATGTTTTTAGACAAGACAGGGAAGGGGTCAATCAAAACACAAAACAAAAAATCTTACTATAATCTCATGAAAATTAAAATGTATGCTGCGATAAAATATTTATTAACACATATACCTGACCAAGATTTTTACATCCAGAAATATGAAATAGAAAGTTGATAGCTTAATTTAAAGACAAAAACCACTTAAGTGAGTAAGTATAAGAAAAGGTGGTCCTGGTTAAAAAGGAGGTTAAATATTTGATGAGATATTACCACATACTCAGACAAACAGCCAAACCAATGCTGAGGGTATTTCAGGACCCAAGTACTCTGACATATTGCTTGTGGAAATGTAATGTTCACCACACACTTATAATATCTCCTAGTAATTTCAAACCTATGTATTTACTCAACAAAAATGATATATGCCTCCAAAATGGATTTATAAAGAAAGCTCCAACAGCTTTATTCAGAATAGCCAAAGGAAAAAACAAATGCCTAAAATCCAAATGCACATAACAGAAAGAAGTAAACACTGGTGTATGGAAAACATACTCAGCAATAAATGACAAATAAACTGATCACTGATACATGGAATGACTTGGATCAATCTCAAAACACTGAGTCAAAGAAGCCAGATACAAGAGTTGATCCTGTAAAATTCCCGTAATATGAAGTTTCTTCCTGGACAGACTAAAATTAATTCACAGCGATACAAATCAGAGGAGTGGTTCCAAGAGACAGGTGCAGGGATATGGAGAAACTTTCAGGAGTGATGGACATTTCTCTATCTAGGGCATGGCATGTGTATGTATATGTCTACAACTATCAAAACATCTCACAAATAAGTAAATTACATACTTATGTACATTTTATAATATGTGGAAGCACTCACAGAGGTAATGAAATAGTTTTATTACATACAGTGAAATACACACAATCAAACCTATATACCATAAAATGCTACATGAAATTCAATAAAACTGAAATTAACCAAACTAAGAAAACTCAGTATTCAAAGCAAGGTTTAATTCATATTTCCTGGTTTGGACCTTTTCTCACCGAACAAAATATTCAAACGAGTAAAGAAGTACAAAAGGTTGGTGTGAAAAGGTTGGCAGAGATCTTAGGAGTTACATGATACTACTCACTTCTAGTTAATTCGAAAATGTTACCAACAGCATGCTAGACAATTACGTCTTTTTCCATTACTAAAACGCTTCATCTTTTAGCTTTCTCTTAAGATAAAAACTACTCTTTTACAGCAGAAATTGGAATACTACAGAATTACCTGTGGATGAAATCCAAATTATTATCTGTTTTTTACCAACACAGTTTTGTTAGTATAAAGTCAAGCACATTTGTTTATCACACTCTCTTTATGACTGTTTTCAAGTTATAATAGCAGGGTTTGAGAGATACAACAAAGCCCAGGTTTTATCCGATTCTATATCATACACAAACACTTACCTTATAAAATTCCTGTTTTCCAAAGGAATACCAGAAAAACATACATCCTTAAAATATATTATTATATACATACACACATCCTTTTTTTACATGATAGCATTCATTAAATCTGGAGAATATGATTTCCATTCAGCCATAGACTTTCCATCTCCAATTTCTAACTACTCCTTCCTTCTACGAGCCCAGTTTCAGTAGATCAAATCCTAAATATGGTCAAACCCTAGACAATACAGTTGATGAGTGACCCTCTTAAAACCATAAAAATGAATTTACCAACCCAGCTAGGTTACAAAAGGACCGCTGCATTTATGACTCTGACATCACATTTCTATTAACATAGTTTATGACTTCATCAACTTACTTTATGCTCCATCACACTAGTGATTCATATTTTTACAATGAGAACTTTTGAAAATCAATATACATATGGTTTTTTTTTAAACAAAAATTCTGTAAGTTAATAAGCACTAAGGAGTAATAAAATTCAAGATGTGTAAATTTTGTTGTAAAAAAGAGAGGGAAAAAAAAAAAAAAAGAAAAAGAGCTCTAACGGATATAACAGCAAGTGTGTTTGGGGGTGTTAAATAGCTGACTTTATCAATGTTTTTGGAACATTGAACACAGCTGTTTGCAGTCTCCCTGTTTGAATGTCCACCTTGTGTTCTTTGATACTGTGATTTGAGGAACTATTTTCAAGAAAATAGTGTGTAATCTACTAGCAGGTAATTTCTTACTGTTATGGTTTTTTGTTTTGTTTTGTTTTGTTTTGTTTTGTAGTTCTGTATTGCGTGTACCCTTACGCCGCTTTGGTTTGTTTTGTGTTTTTCTCTTTTTCCTCTTAAATAAAAAAAAAAAAATTCTGTAAGTATGAGGAGCTATGTGTAACTTCTCCAAAAAAAAAAAAAAAACTTGCTCAGGTCTACAGAAGATGTACTTTAAGTATTTAAAGCTGCTGGATGGCAATTTTCTTTATCACTTTTTCTAGGTCTTAATTCCATCCTATGACGTTTGAAACAAACATTTCAGTTTGAAAATTATTCTCCTGGCTGAAACAAAGTAGGACCTGTAGTCAAAGGCCTTTAGGGAAAATTCAAGTACGACAGACATCTGAAAAAGGAAGCAGGAAGATGCCTCAAAGCAATCTCCCCAGATACAATTTAAGTGAAATGGATATGGCTTATACATCAGATAAAATAAAATCTGAATTTAGGTTCTGTTCTTTTTTAACGAATATGAAAGTTTAGCAAATAATTATATATATCTTACGTAAAATAGGAACCTATATTCATAACATCAAAAGTAAAGTAAAGTCAAGATATGGTGAATGGGTCACATATTACGTGTAGTATTTTAAAAATCAAAGTATCACCCACTGCCTTTATGTAAGAATTAACTCTGCCTAACCTCAGCCTTCTATCTGGAAGAACTCTAACATTTTCCTGCACACCTTCTCCCATAATAAAAACATTTTCTGACTAGTGTACATGGTTCTTGAACATGCCAAGCTAACATAATAAAAAAGTGACCACGCTAGCAATTGGACTATTCCTTCGTCCTGTGTTGGTAGACCACTGAGGCTACAGCAGCTCTAAGCTCCAGTGACAACATCATTATAGTAAAGCAACATTTTAATCTTCAGGTCCCTTGCTGGTGCCTTCCTGTACATTTAACTCCAACTTGGAACCAAGTTTTCTTGGAGGGGCTCACTTCAGCAGGACATCAACTAACACTGAAATCACGCAGAGAAAATTAGTATGGCCCCAGCACAAGGGTGACACACAAATTTGTGAAGCAGTCCATACTAAAAAGTCTTTTTAAAATACAATCCTCTGATTTTTTCCATGCTTTTTTGCCAGTCGTGTTACTAATGCTTTCTCTAGTACTTAGCTTGTTTCTGCAATGTACAGCAAAATGACATGAATACATTTGCAAAGAAATACATTCAGAATATTCCAGATTTGCTTTCTCTCAAGTTTATTAACACCTCTTTACACCTAATCTGTTATCAAGTATTATAACTCCTGTCATTGTCTTTCCAAACACTGAACTTAGCCTTCTTTGTGAATCAGATTAATTTTAAATAATTAAGATATCTGAGAACAAATACATTTGACTTTTGCTAGGAGTACAATTTACACAGTTGAAGTAAAAATATGCAAAGAGTACTTCAATATGACTGACCAGATGTATGTGACCAAGAGCCTAGATCATCAATTAGTACATTTTTCAGGGAATATAGAGGATTAAATCTAGTTAGTAAAAACTTCAGTGGCCTTACCTTTAAAAATGGAACTAATACTAACCTTCTTTTAAAGTTCCGTAAGAGTAAATGAAACAATAGGTATAAAGTGCCTCAAAGTATGAGACACATATTAGGTGCTAAATACACAAGGTTAAATATTGAGTGGAAAAACCTTAAACATCTAACATTCCTAAAAAGAATCTCTCGCTATTAAAAAAAAAAAAATCAATCTTGTTCAAATAAGCTGCTTGGGATAAAAATTGGGAATGTTATCTGGCATTATTCTCATAAAATCCCACTTAACTTTTCTGTATGGCAACAAAAACAAATTTTTAAAGGCTCAATACCCTACAAGAGAAAAATAAAATCAACCTGGCTCTGTACACATTATTCCATCCCCACTTGTGTGAGCCAGAAATAGTAGCCTGTTCTTTCAAATCAGGATATTATTTCCTTCTACGAGCCACACGGCATGAAAAGAATCTAAGAAACATTTATTGCAAAGACTGCTACAAGTCTATAATTATGCAGAATCACAGTTCCTACCAACATAGGTCAAAATAAATATACTATACTAAATGTTGGAGCTCATATGTGTTACAACTCATAGATATTTTCATATAAAACCTTAAAAATTTGTTCCTGTCCTACATAGCCTGCTTTTCTGTTACAAATTCTGAGGTCTTGGTCTCACCCTGAGCAGCAGTTGTTATGTCTGAGAGAAACCTGGCCCCACACGTACTTTAAGCTACTTCTGAAGTCAGAGTTTCCTGTCCCCCACCAGTCTCCTGCTTATTTCACCATTACAGACTCACCTCAGGTTGGTCATCCAGGCTAGAAATACCATCAAGGTTCTTTCCGCCCAGTTCTTTATGCCAAGCTCTCCTTTTAAAAATACGTTTGCCCCAATATAAGTACAAATCTCACGCATTCCATATGTGAAAGTTAATTTCTCTCCCTTTTTTTAAACAGAGACTGTTGTTAACATAAGTCTTGCCATTCTGGTCTATAGAGGTCATCAAAGAAGCAGAAAAGATAATCCTCTCTCAAGATGCTCTTGATCCAACTGAAGGGGAACACAGAAGGGAAATAACTAAACATGAAGTTAACACAATACAGGTCATGTGTGTTATCCCCTCCACCTACCTCATATGATAAAAAAATTAAGTTTTGCTTGATTTCAAAAATCATACACTGGTCCTCTTTAGTTTGAAATTAGTTCACAAGTTTTTTAAAAATGAAATCCTTGACATATTCAAGGATTAAGGATCAAGGATCCTTGACATATTCAAGCCACATTCAACTTCTTATCCACTTACTCATCCTCTTCCATGAAGTCTTCCCTGATTAACCAGAAGAAAGCTTAGCATTGTTCCACCTACACACAGTCCCAAAAGTCTTCCACATCTGCCACCTGAAATAACACACTTACTTAACTTTCTATATAGAAAAATAAACCACTTAAACAATATATCTATTTAGTTAAAACACATTTCCCCAGTGATCTTATTTCCCCACTGCTTAAATTAGTTTTAGATAGAACTAAATGGTTCTCTATATTGTTTGTCTACTTTTAGGTGGCTTGAACACTTAGAAAATTTAATGTTTGTAGAAAAATATGTGGAAGTCAGGCAACAAGTTACAAAATAACAGGTATCTCTCTCACTACTGGACATTTTTTCCAAACAGGGAAAAAAGTACTCTTTTAAAGAGATATCCCTACCAACAATGTCAAACTTTGTCATGTAAAATCCTGCTTCATCAGCTCTGCATTTTAACAAATACGAATACAAGGATCATGACCACTGAATCTTCTATGGAAGGACCTCTAGAGAAGTTTACTACATTTGCCTCTGCTCCTACCCCATTTGTCAGCAGGCTATCTACCAACTGCCTGACCACATCTGTTAATACTGACCATATAAGTGCAGCACACATGGCCTAAATTATTCAGGAGCAATCCCTATCTCACATACTCTTCTTGTATGTGAAGCTGTCGCATAATTAAATACACTGTAAATTTCTTAGAAAGTTTAATTCCTTTGTCGAAAGGTACAAGACAATTCAAAACACATACTCATTACATTTATACTAAAAGATAGCACAGCAAGCTTTTCTCTCCCCACCCCCACCCCCACCCCCAGCAGTACTCTGGAAGCAGTGCCCAAAATAATTCTGAAACTCTTTCAATGCTGCCTTCTAAACCACTGCATCTTGATCTGAGCTAGCTATCATTATATTAGAATTCTACCTACTTCCTCCTTAATTACTAAAACTCAAATTCCTATCAACCTATCAATTCCTTATTACTAGGCAACCAAATTCTCAATTTTAGTCTAGACTTCCTTACTGAAATCAATTTTAATTCTAAGCCTGCATTTATTAAAAACACTGCATATATTCAAAGTTTTTAACCTCACATCTCAGCACACAGAGGGTTTCCCCAGTTCATCAACATCAAAAGCAACACCTATGCTACTGCTATTTCAATCTCTATCCTTTGATATGCTTTTTTTTTTGCTTTTCTAATGGGTATCTTTTTAATGGCCTTTCAAGATTAAGGTAAAATGCAAAATTGTAACTATATTTGAACCCTTTACTGAATGTACTCACTAAAGAGCTTTGGATATAGAGAGGCTAGCTGAATTAACTGGTCCTTTGCCTATCGAGAGGTCTTTTCCACTAAAATTAGGTGTAGAAGACTGTGTTTTCTGTATACTTCAGTCCAAGTATATAATGCTATCTCAATCTAATCAAGAGGAATTCAGTCCAAACAGTAACTTCTGAAAACTTAAGGAAATGTTAGTCAGGTGTTGCAAGGAGAACAATTACATACAGGACACAGAATTAAATAGAAAGTGCAGGAAATCTGTCCACCCCACTAAAGATCTAGAAAAATCCACCAGAGGGCCTGGATCCCACAGCAATGTCCTGCATGAGTCCAGCTAAAAATCTAAGCCCATGAAAATGACTCCCACGAGTCTAACTGGAGGTCTAGAGCCCTTGACAAGGACTCATGAGAGTCTGTTTTACGAATCTACACTGGGAAGGTCCAAAGGTCAGCAGTAGAAGCTACAAAGTCTGCACCAGCAGACTGAGGGTTCTACACTAGAGCAAGGAAGCAACACTCAAAATAAATACCAGGGCTCCCCCAAAAAGTACCACAGCCATCCTCAGCGACATCGAGGTCCTGAGGTTCTCTGACAAAAAGAACAGTTGAATACAGACCAGGAAGCCAGCATGACAAACTTCTCCTTAAGATTAAACAGTACTCATCTTCCCCTCCAAAGCCAAGAAGCGATGCTCAAAGTAAGGACCAGATCTCCTCCAAAGTGTATCACAGCCATCCTCAGTGACAAAGTACCAAGCTCTCCCTACAATAATGGCCAAATTCACATCGGGAAAGCTAACCACCATAAGTTCCACCACAAGAACCAACAACCCCAAACAACACTTAAAAGAACCCACAATGCCCCTCTCTTCCTCTCTGTGTCTCCTTTTATGCAAGCAACTTCCCTCAGGCAGGCCATCTACACTCAGTACCATGCCAATGTAACTGAGCTGGTGTTAAATTGACCACCAGTTTTTATTCCACAACAGACAATGTTCGGGAAAAAAAAAAAAATCTAGACTTATTTCCTCAGTTTGTTTTCAGTATTTTAGTTGTTTTTTGTTGTCATTATTACCAACAACACTGCAGTAAGTATCTCTGTATTGACACATATTTGCAAATATATCTTAAGGAAACAATATTGGGCTAAAGTAAAGCAATGCCTATGAACACTTTGTTTAAAGGAAAATATTATTGTTGGCTTTGCAGGTAACATGGTCTCTGGTGCATACCCAACTCTGCCTTATAGTGCACTGCTTCAAAACAGCTTGAAGAGAGGTTTCTGAATGTTCTCATCCAAAGAAATGATAACTATTTAGTGTGGTGAATATGCTAATTACCCTGACTGGATTATCATACAATGTATACATACTCTGAGACATCAAGATATCCCCTCAAAATAGACACAAGTATAATGCATCAATCATAAATAAAAGTTTAAAATGAAAGTAAGTCATATTACTTAGTTCTTGGGAAGAGGGCATTACCCAACTCTGCCATCAAGTACAAAATCAGCAATAGAAAAGCAAAATATAAATGTGTGGCTATATTTACAATAAAAATTTATTTACAAAAAGGAGTAAGTAACATACTGCTCAAGGGCAATACAAATACTCTTGTTCTAGAGATAATAAACATTAAATGGCCTTGCTAGGCTGAAGATATAGGGCCTCCTGTATCTACGGAGATATTCTGTGGATGCCTGAAACCATGGATAGTACTAAACAGTTTGGAATAATGTTTATGTATTAGGCACAGTAGAAATTAGCAACAATGACAATAATAAAATAGGACAATTTTAATAATATACCATAATGAAAGTTATTCAAAACTTACGGTTTGTTTATGGAACTTACCATTTTAATATATCTGGATTTCTGTTAACTATAGGTAACCAAACAATGAAAACTGTAGAAACGGAGGGCTAAGTATGGGTTTCACATTTTTATTGAT